ACCACACCTGCAAATGGTTCCTATCCTACAACTTAAACTCATGGTCAGCTCCCCTCCTCGCCTGGAACCTTCCTCCCCTGGCCATAGGGGACTGTCCACCTTCCCCTCCTGCCAGAGCCCCCAAGGCCCAGCTTCCAGTTAAATGCTTTCTGTCACTGCAAAGAAGCTTGAGCAGAGGCTGAGCACCTGGGTGATGTGGGCAGAGCAGGGCCTCTGTGCAGCCTGCCAGCCCCAAGCTGTGGGTGCCTGGCAGTTGCCAGGATACTTGGATGGAGCATTTGGGGTGTAGGGGTCTGCAAGTCAAGGGCAGTGAGGGGCCTAGCAGGATTCCTGGCCGTGGTGCGAGCCTGGTCTTGTTTAGTGCAGATTCTTTCCTTGCCCCTTTCAGAGAGATGTGGCTGGAGTGCAGGCCATTCCTGCCCCCCTTGCAGGATGGGTTTCAGGAGCTGTGACCCCTCCCACCCAGTTGCTTGCCTCTCTGTGCTTGGGTGCTGGCTACTTTTAGCTCTCCCTTCTCGGGCAGGGCAGCAGGGCTGGGCATGACCTCACCCTACAACCCTGACCAAGATGGGGAGGCCTGGCCACCATGTCAGCAGTACTCTCTCCCCTGAGGCAGCTTTGAACCCAGCTGGGGCCTGGCTGGTTGTTCAGGAACAACAGTTTGCTGACCATGACAGTCAGCCCTGGGAAGGCCCCAGGACCCGGACCCAGGGAGGTGGGAGCCCATCGCTACTTAACATGCGTGTGGAGGTTGAGCTGGGCCCTGCCAGGTGGCTAAGGGTGGTGGTGGGAGGATGGGTGAGGAGGACAAGTGAGAGAATTATGCTTTCAGTCCCCAATTACTGAGCACTTACTCTGCACTAGACATGGTTCTGTGCACTGGGATGGAGCTATTAATTAGACAGACAAGGCACTGATGTTCTAGAGTGTTCTAGGAGACAGTGGCCAAGTAGCAAATGAAGAGCTGAAGGAACAAGACAGCCCTATAGTGATGTGTGTGATGAAGACAGTGAAGCTGGATAGAGGCTGACTGGCGGGGCTTCTTTGGCTCGGGTGGTCCGGGAAGGCCTCTCTGAGGAGGTGACCTCTGAGCTGAGACCTGAATGAAGCGTTGAATGAGCCTTGGGACCGTCAGAGGGAACAGTGTTGTAGGCTTGGAACAGCAAGTGCAGTGGTCCTGCGTGGGAAGGATTTAGGCGTGTTGAGCAACAGATAGGAGGCCGTGCGTGCTGAGCCGGGCGGGTGTGGGGGAGATGGGCCCAGAGGGGTGGGTGAGGGGCCCAGAGACAGCAGAGTGGCAGTTGCGTGGAGGCATAACATCATTTGCCTGACTTCAGGGCCCAGGAGACTGTGGTTGTTCAGATGTTCCCTCATCCCACTCTGTCGGGTTGGGTACTTGATCCGTCTTGCCACCCGCCTTAGATGAGACCCGCAGTGTCTGAGCTGGTGGTTTCTTCAGGGGATTTGTATGGGTGGAGGCAGAGGGTGGGATGGGAAGACGCCCTCGTGGCCCCTGATAACAATCACACTGGGGGAGAGAGGGCAGGAGTACAGGTGATGGGAAGTGTCCCTGGTGCCGGAGAGAATCCTGCCTCCTGCCGATAGGATCTTTGCCATGGGGCGAGACAGGGAGATGACAGTGAGGCGTGTCCAGGTAGGGCTGTCCCTGAAGCCCTGATAAGATCCTATCCCCCACGGGGTGGGGAGGCCCGGCCAGGCAGGCAGCCACTCCTGCTCAGTCATTGGTTGCCAACAGCAGCAAGTAGCGTTTGTTCTGGAGCCAAAGCCTCCAGGCAGAATCCAGGTGCAGGGAAGGAGTGCTCAGAGGGGCTACCCTATGGGGCTGGGAGGCCCTGCCCCACCACTCTGCTGGGCATCAGGGAGTCTCCTGCCCTTTCTGGGGAGAGCTGGGGGAAGGGGGCCTTTGAGTCCAGCTCTCTCTGTACAGGAGCCCTTAGTGGCCTGGCTCAGGGTGGGTGCTGTCTCTGGTTGGGCAGCCATGTTGATGCCAGGCTGGGAGGAGGAATGGGGGGCCCCGCTCTCCCCTGCAGTACTCAGGGGGCTGCTGAGCACTCTCTGGGAGTTCAGAGCTGAGCTCACGGGCCTGAGACATCAGGCCTTGAATTAGTGAGGCATTCTTTGCAGCTGTGGGCTCGAGAGAGGCAGAGCTGGCGGTGGCCCAGGAGTGATGGGGAAAGTGGCCCCAGGTGTGGCAAGGCAGGGACCACCTCAGCCCCGTGCCTGGACTTCTGCGTTCCACCATGAGGCCCCGGTGGGCCCTCACAGGCTCAGCCCGGGGCCACCTGTCCAGCTTAATAATACAGTCCCTCAGGGGGATGAGTTAGTTCTGGGCACCCCCACACCGGATCCCGTTGCCTGTCCAATTTGGGGGTCCACCTGTTGACCTTTCCCCCTACCTCCCTTACCCCCCTTTGCCATATCATTTTGGGTCCCAGGCTGGGTCTTGCTCTTGCAAACTTCATTAGGGTCTGAGTGTGGCCAGGAATCCCTGTGACTTAGGGCCAAAGAGGGAGCTGCCGAGCCTTTGCCCCCCGGGCTTCCCGTGGAAGATTGCTCTTTTGCTGGGTTATTTCTGTGGGGCTGGCTCTAGGGCTTAGGGTGTGGGCCTGTGGACAGACAGGGCAGCAGTGCTCCTGAGAGCTTGGCATCACAGTCACTTGGGAAGGTAGCTGGTTGGCGGGGCCATGACAAGAGGCCTGAACTGGGCAGGTGGAAGGCTTGGTTATGATAGTGTCACAGCCCTTGAAATAAAAATAGCCTTTGTTTTGGGGGCGGAAGCTCTGGGTCCAAAGTGGGCAAACAGGTACCCCCATGAGGCATTTCCTCAAAGTGGGACTTATTTTCTGTCTCTCTCTTTTTTTACTGATGGGGAAACTGAGGCATGGAGCAGGCCGCTGGATTCACATTCCTGGCTGTGTCACACCCCAGGCTCCCTTGAATGAACCCAGAAGCCTTGTGGCCAATGGCCAGCCTTGGAGGGGAATTTAACGGAGGTGGTCCTTGCTGTGGGGGCGAGGCAGCCCCATGGGCAGGCAGTAGAGACAGAGCTGGGGAAATTTACCAGTCTCTGGCTGCCAGAGCTCAGGTGTGGTGGGGCTGTTTGGGGGTCAGTGTTGGGAAGGGGACCCTAGACCAGACTTTATAGGAGGAAAGCAAACCACTTGGATATCCCATCACGGAGGGTCTTGGAACCCAGGGGGGCCGGGATAGAGGGACCGAATGGGCAGGGAGGCAGCTGAGGGTGTGCGGAAGAGGCTATCAGGGTGCAGGTAAGCTAGGGGAGCATCACCCTCTCTGCCCATTCCCTTGTTTGTGTGTGCCCCCGGGGGGGCGGGGTAGGCCCATCTGTTCCTTGTTAGGTACTCAACAGACCGTCTTCCAGGAGAGTAATTAATGCCAAGTTGCTGGCGGATCCAGCAGCAAGCTTGTCCCAGGGCTTTATCCTGGCGGCCCAGATGCCCTGCTGACCCCAGAAATGCTGTTCCATTCCCAGCCAGCAATCCTGGAGACACGGGGGGCCGAGTTGCCGGCAAAGCCCCTGCTTCTGAGCCTGAATGGTAGAGAGGGCTTGGGTGGTGGTAGGCAGCCAGAGATGGCCACAGGACGTTCCACCTTGCCTTCCCGCCCCGGGCCTGCCTCCGCCACCCACTCTGAAACTTCTCTTTCGTTGCTGGCTGTGCCCCAGACTTGCTGTGCGACATTAGCCATGTTGCTTATCCTTTCTGGGCAGCTTTCTTTTCCCCCTCCGTCTGTAGAATGGGTGTCGGACTGCGCCATTGCTGAGGACCCCCTCCCCTTGTCTTAGTCTTAGCTTTTATCTGCCTGATTCAGAGCGGCCCCTGCTGGCATCCCCATTTCCTGCTCCCTGTAGACTTCCCCTTGGTGCTCCTCACCGCTCTGTGGCTGTGTCCTCTAATCCAGGGCCAGGTGACTGCTGGCTCTGTCTGTAATTAACTCCTGCCCATGCTTGGGACATGGGGCACTCAGTGCCAGCACCCCCAGACCAGCGGTTTCCCCTACGGCCAGGGAGAGGTGACTGTTTCCACAGTGGCCACCTCCAGTCGGCCCAGCACATTCCTCAGGCTTATCTGGGGGCCCGCCCCACTGGACTCTGCCCTCCCACCCAGGAAGCAGCACCCAGAGGAGCTACTGAAGAGTTCCAGGGGCCGGGATGAGGGCCTGAGTGGGCTTGACTCTCAGCCTCCCTCCTGGGGCTGGAGAGAACCAGGTATAGACTGGCAGGGGGAGGGTGGGCAGAGGGATTTGGGGGTCTGCTGAGACTGACCAGGCAGACTGTCTTGAAGCTCGGGAAGTGTGGATTTCACTCACACCAGACTGTGGGCCACCTCCTGGGCACCCCACCTCCCCTCTCTCGGAAGGCTCTCCCCTGAGGCCCCTGTGCATGGGAGGGGGCCTGGCTCTGGGAAGGTCACCTTAAGTCTGCTCCAGAGTTGTAACAGGAGATGGGACGGGACAACGGCTCCTGGGCCACCTCCCTCTCTTCCCACCTCCACAGTGGGAGCCGGCGCCAGCCCTTCCAGGAAGGGGTTAACCGCCAGCCCCAGCCGTGAGGGAGGGGACTGGGCTGGACCATTTTCCTCGCTGCTGCCTCCACCTCGGTTTTCCTGAATGGTTCTGTCGTCCCAGGGTGGGGAGGGAAGGGAAGGAAGAAGGGCGGGTGGAGGGAGGGAGGGAGGAATGTGGGAAGAGGAAGGAAAAAAGAGCGAGACAGCCAGGGGAAGAGAAAGATGTCACTGTCTAATCTCCCTGTCATTTTTATTTCCAGCAGGCGCCGGGCAGAGGAGCTGCTAGAACAATGCTGAGGCGGGCGAGGTGAGGAGCGGCCCTCGCGGCCCCCCCGACGACGACGACGACGGAGTGTCTCGAACAGGTGATAGGAGGATCCGGAAACCGAGGCCACCTGGGCATCCCTCCCCGCTCTCAGCCAGGCCCGGCACCCCAAAGGCAGTGGGGAAACCATGGCGACCAATTTCAACGACATCGTCAAGCAAGGCTACGTGAAGATGAAGAGCAGGAAGCTCGGGGTGAGCCACCCTCCGAGGGGCCTTGCCGAGGGACGGGCGTCCGAGGACCTGGTCTGGAGCCTGCCGCGTCCTGTGCGCGGGTGCCCGCCTGGGGCCGCATCGCGCAGTTGTGGTGTCGAGGCTTCTGGCCAGCCGGCTACCCGGCATGTGCCTGCTGCGGCCCCCACCCCAGCAGGGCTGGCCGGCGTCCCAGCGGCCGGGCCAGGGGTGGCGGCCGACGAGGGGCAGGCGGCTGCCCTGCCATTGTTGAAGTTGTGGCCAGGACAGCGGCTGGAAGTGCGGGGCTGTGTCTGAGCCTCTCACTCCCCCTTGTCTCCTCCTCGCCTCGCCTCTCTGTTTCTCTCCTCCCTCTCTTGGCCCCTTTTCTCTTAAGTCCCTTGGTCTCCCCCAGCTTCCATTGCTTTCTGTGTACGGGTCCTTATGTATTTATTTTGGCTATTGCTTTTACTGTTAAAGGAGTGTGTGAAAAAGAGAGTGGTTGGCTGTGGGGCAGGGCAGTGATGTGAGGGTGCAGAGGCTGGTATTTATGTGGTTTAGGAATGAGAACTTAGAGCAGGATGGCCTGTGGCTCTGGGACAGACTGCTTTCCTCTAAGTTGTTGGCGGTGGCTCCTTGCGCACTGGGTGCTTGGCAAGCTGGGGGCTTGCTTACAGGGTCTGTGGGGATGAGGCCTCAGATACACCTCTGTGGGCATGCGCCCCCCCTCACCCCCTCCTGGTGAGTACAGCCTCCCCTCAACCCCCAGAGAGCATGACCAGGGGCTCCTGGGACCAACTTAATGATCTCAGTGAGGTTGTCCAAGAGCTGCCTCTGTTCCCCTGCTGACCCTCTCCCACCTCCAGTGAGGGGTCCTTCCCCAGTAGGAGGGTATCCTTGGTGACCGAGGTGGCCCAAGTCTTGTGTTTTCACGGGGTCTCCCTTCTCTATCTTCCTCCCCTCCCCCATTGCCCTGATGGGGGTGGGGTGAGATCAGACTTCTCAAGGCTTCCTGGCTCAGCCTGAGTCGGGTGGGGGAGGAACAGGGCTCTGATATGGTTTCCCTGCCTGGAAACCAGACCAAGCAGGGCTGGCCTTGGAGAGGGGTGGTTCTTGCCCCTCCCCCCCTTTTGTGGTCCCGCGCGCCCCTGTGGGCGTGTGTTCTGCCCAGAGTGTAGGAGCTGAGCTGTAGGCATGTCTGGAGTCTTTGCTAGATTTGGATTTGTATCCCAACCTGGGTTTCAGTCCAGGAGACCGTGCCTGGGTGGGCACCACCTTGCTCGGGTCCTGAGAGAGGGATGGAACCCACGTGGAGCACAGAACTAGAGAAACTGAAAATGAGGTGGGGAGGCCAAGGGAGTAGGGGCCCAGCTTCTAGTATGGTTCCTCATTCCTATGGGCCTGGGTCTAGCAGGTCCCTGGGGCGGGGGGCCCACCTGGGCCAAGGCCCTGCCCAGTGCAGAGCTTACAGGGAAACGAGAGCCCCCTTGAGGCAGCCACTTGCACTTAGTATCAGACCTATTCCAGGAGGAGACCTGAAACCAAGTGGCCTACAGGTGGACACAGCCAGTGGGAGAGATTGGGAGCTGGGGTGTGGCCAGATCCAGTTTGGGTCTCCCTCTACCCAGGGCATTCAGCCTGTCCCTGCAGGTCTGATATGAGGGGCTGTCAGCCATTCTTGTGCCAGGGCAGCCATTCTGGTCTCAGCTCACAAAGGTGAGCCAGGAGGGGCTGAAAGAGCTGGGGAACAGACCCTCCTACCCGCCAGGGCCTTCCTCTGGCAGAGCTGTGGCAGAGTGTTTCTGAAGTGCTGATCAAAGACCATGAGAAGTGGGGAAGGAGGGCTCTTGAGCACAGTGGCTCCCTGGGGCTGTGCGTGCGTGCGTGCGTGTGTGTGTGTGTGTGTGTGTGTATCTATCTGTATCTGTAACCAGGCAACCAGGGTGCTCAGGCCCCTGGGCCTTCTGCCCCTACACTGCAAGCTTCATGGAGCCCAAGTTGGCAGGGCATATTGGGGTCGACAGCCTTCATTCATTCATTCATTCATTCATCCAACCATCCACGGTCTCTTCATATGGTCATTCACTTGTTCAGCAGAGCTGTGTTAACAAGGTTACCAGGATGTGAGTGAAGATTCTGAGAATAAAGTACAGTCTCTGTCCTAAAGGAGCTCCCCAGCTAAGAGCTGAGGCCTGCTGTGGTTTAGGTGGATAGGCCAGGGGCTGAGCCCGGGCCCTGGGTACAGGAGCAGAGATACCTCCTAGAGTTCCAGATGGTCCCAGAAATGGCCTGGTTCTGAGTGGCTTCTTGGCCTGGGGCCCTGCCTACCCGGGACCTGGGGACTGAGTGGCAGGGCCGTAGGCATGGGGCTATGGGCCTCTTGCTTCCTCTGCTCTGGGCACCCCCAGTCTCCCTACTGTTTGCCGGTGAGAGGGGGCACCTGTGATTTCTTGGAATAGGCTTTGCCGGGCTTTTGCAGTGCCCACTGACAGAGTAGGCTGAGAGAGAGCCTGGGGTGGAGGAGGGGGCCAGGGAAGGAAGAGTCTGCAGCCTGGGCCGGTGGCTAGGCCACCACTGGGGGTGGGGGTGGGGGGGGTCTGACAAGCCAGTTTGCCCTGGAGCATGGTTGGCTCCCTGCACCCTGGCTCCTTGGCAGTCAGGATGAGCCCATGAAGCTCTAGAGAATCAAGGCAGTTTTAGGCACGGGGTCATTGGCAGTAGTCGGACAGGAGGGAACCTCGCCTGGGGAGGCACTATGCTGTGGGGTAACCCCAGGTTCTTGGCTCTGCCCCTCTGGGGAACCACTGAGAGCCTCTGGTTCCCCAACTGGAACAGGGAACTAATCCTGACCTCCTATACTCCAGAATGTCAGAGGATGACAAGAGAGGGTGGCCAGAGATGAGAGGGGGTATTACCCCCATCAAGAGCCCTCCCCTGCCCCTGAGAACAAGGGCTGTGGTGATGTGCAGGCTCAGAATGGTCAAGGGTCTGATCCCTGTCCCTAGGACACTCCCTCTGTTGTGGCTGGCACTTCCAGAGCCCTGGGCAGACTGTTAGGGGTGGCCTCCAAATATCCATTCTGGATCTAGCCAGCGCTTTAAAAATATCAGCACTACCATTTATCAACTGTTACTTATTGGTGCCTCAGTTTCCTGTCTGTAAAGTGGCAACGATCATCAAACCAACCTCAAGAGTGAGCCTGAGATTGACTGTGAAGAACACTAGGAAGTACAGAAGGGAAACAAACGTTGGCTATTTATATTAAGCTTCGAGCTGAGCAGTAAACAGTGATTCAGAGCACTCTTTGTGCAACCGTCTTGCAGAGCCAGGGACGAAATGCCTGCTTCTTCAATTTGGGGAGGGGGCTTTGCTGCTGGTCCCAGGTTTCTCCTGGGCTGGGTTTCCAGGGAAGGCCGTGTAGCACTGCCCCCTGTGGCAGGCAGGGGTTAGTCAGGGCCATGTTGGGTGGGAGTGGTCCCAGGAGGCCTGATCCCACTGCCCTCTTGCCCCACAGATTTACCGGAGGTGCTGGCTGGTGTTCCGGAAATCCTCCAGCAAAGGGCCCCAGCGGCTGGAGAAGTACCCAGATGAGAAGTCAGTGTGCCTCCGAGGCTGCCCCAAGGTTAGGGGGCCTGGGTCCTAGCTACCCTAGTCTGTAAGCAGTGACGATTTGCCGAGCCCTGAGGTCCAAGAGCACCCTCCTGGGGGTGGCACCACTGGGCGGGGGGGGGCGGTGCAGAGGGAGGCATTCCAGCCTGGCTCAGTCTCTCCTGGGTGCTGTCGCAGGTAACTGAGATCAGCAACGTCAAATGTGTCACGCGGCTCCCCAAGGAGACCAAGAGGCAGGCGGTGGCCATCATATTCACCGACGACTCAGCACGTACCTTCACCTGCGACTCAGGTGAGGAGAGGGGGCTGCAGGTTTCCAGCCAGACTCCCCTGGGCCAGTCATGGTCCAGTGGTGCAGTCGGGAGGAGGCAGAGCAGGACGAGCCCTGGCTGGGGGTGATGTGTGGGGGTGAAAGTAGTGTGGGGGGGTGGGGCTTGGAGGGAGCAGGCCCCCAGGACAAGGGGAGACAGGCAGGTAGCATCCACTGGCCTCACTCTCTCTGCCTTGCATGGTGGGACACTCTGGGCTGAGGGCAGATGGATGGGCTGCTGGGGGACCCTGGGCTGGCACGAGGTACCATTTTCTCTAGAGCTGGAGGCGGAGGAGTGGTACAAGACACTGTCTATGGAGTGTCTGGGGTCACGACTCAATGACATCAGTCTGGGAGAGCCGGACCTCCTGGCCCCAGGAGTGCAGTGTGAGCAGACAGGTGAGGCCTGCCGCTGCCGAGGGGGTGGGAGGAGAGAGGAGAGTCCTCCCCTGGGGAGGCTCCAGCCCCACTCCTCCTCTCCCGCTGCAGACCGCTTCAATGTCTTCCTGTTGCCCTGCCCCAACCTGGATGTGTATGGCGAGTGCAAGCTGCAGATCACCCACGAGAACATCTACCTCTGGGACATACACAACCCACGCGTGAAGCTCGTCTCGTGGCCCCTCTGCTCGCTGCGTCGCTATGGCCGGGATGCCACACGCTTTACCTTCGAGGCTGGCCGGTAGGACCCTCCTGCCCCCCAACCCTGTCCCACCATGTCCCACCACGATCATGCTGTCGGCCGTCGTTCACTCTATCAGGCACTGTGCTGGGAGCTTATTTATCAGCATAGAAAACCAAAAGGGAACGTAAGATTTCCAGTTTATAGATGAAGAAATTGAGGCTCACGCCAGGAAGGTCAAGTGCGGCTGTTTCAAACTTCTGGGGCTCAAATCAAATGCTGGCCCTGGCACCTACAGCTCTGTGGCTGTGGACCACGTCTGTTTTCTTCATCTGTCAAATAGATGATAAAAAAAAAAGTACTCCACCTCCTAGAATTATGGTGAGGATTGAGCTTGAACTCTGGAGCCAGCCTGCCTAGACTTAAATTCTGTGTAATCCCCTGTATAATCCTGGCTAAGCTAGTTACCATCAGTAGGCCTCAGGTTCCTCATCTGCAAAATGGTTTGAGAAAATTCAGAACAGGAAACTAAAAGTGCGCAGACCAAAGGGATGGGAGAAAAACCTGAATGGGTTCATTCCTGTAAGGCGTTTAGATCACTGGTACACAGAAAATGCCCAGCACGTTTGGGCTGTGCGGCCAGCACCCCCGAAGACAGAGGGGGTGGGGTGCAGAGGGCCTGGGGCGCGGCCAGTCTGCGGTGCCAGAAAGCCGGACCAAGCACCTGTGTGTGCGTGGTGCAGTCCCCTCTACCTCGCCCTCGGTGCCTCTTGTGTCCCTAGGATGTGTGATGCCGGGGAAGGGCTCTACACCTTCCAGACACAGGAAGGGGAACAGATCTACCAGCGGGTCCACAGTGCCACCTTGGCCATCGCTGAGCAACACAAGCGCGTCCTGCTGGAGATGGAGAAGAACGTGAGGGTGAGGCAGCGGGCACTGGTCCAGGCTACCGGGGAGGCTAAGAGCACGCCAGTTGTCTCCAGCTGGCGCGTACGCCAGAGGCCGGCAGGGTGCTGGGCTGGAGGCAGGCCGCTGCCCCTGGAGCTAACGGGAGGGCCCCCCCTTCTCTGCCCCATAGCTGCTGAACAAGGGCACGGAACATTACTCATACCCCTGCACGCCCACCACTATGCTGCCCCGCAGTGCCTACTGGCACCACATCACAGGTTCCCAGAATATTGCCGAGGCGTCCAGCTGTGCCGGTGAGTCCCAGCGGCACCCCACACTCACCTGCCACAAGGTTCTGTGGAGGACCAGGCCTTCTGGGCGGGGGTCCTTTGACCTGCGTCCAAGTCCTGAGCCCGCCTCCGTGTCCACAGGTGAGGGGTACGGGGCAGCCCAGGCCAGCTCAGAAACAGACCTCCTCAACCGATTCATCCTGCTAAAGCCAAAGCCCGGCCAGGGGGATGGCAGCGAGGCCAAGACCCCAGCCCAGTGACGGCAGGGCCGGCACGCGCCAAGGACCGCCGGGGCTGCCTCTTGCTGGGCCGACTGCAGCGTGTTGTGGATGCCCTCGAGGGGCTGCTGGCCAAGAGCCTGGAGAAGCGGAGCAAGCTATCCCTTCCTTGCCCCCAGGGTGAGGCTGGACCAAGGCAAAGGGCTGGCCACACCGCCAGAGCATGTGCGGGGCTGGAGCTACTGTGGGACTATATACTGTTAATGATTTTAATATATATGGCTTATGACATATTCTATACTCCTGAGATTTCCCCCATCCCTCCCCGATACCACATACAGTTTTTAATCCCATGACCGGGTCACAGTCAAGGCTGTTTTTGAACGTGAGGGCAGCTGTTCCCTGTCCTCCGTGGCACAGCCCTCCTGCTGCCAGGACTTGCTTGAGTGGCCAGGGCCAGAGGAGGGAGACAGAGCTCCAGGCTGGCGCTGGGACCGCTGGCTTTCCCCAAGCAGCCCAGGGGCTGAGACAGCAGGTGGCTTCTCAGTTCCTCTGGGCCTAGAGGGGCACAGGAAGGAGTTGAGCTTCCACTGTGCCTCTTGGCAGCCTTGCACTTGGGAGTTTTAAGCAGAGGTGACATCTGGTTGACACCTCAGGTGAAAATCTGGTTTTAAAATGTAATTTTTGCCCAGGCTCCTTCCTGCTTAGTAGGCTGAGAAGATCCCCCAGGGGTGGGGGTGCAGGTCACCTCAGCGAGGAGGAGGAGGGCCGGTCTGAGCTCTTCCCCGCCCCGGGGCCAGGCTGCGGGGAGCACCCCTCCCGCACCCTCACTGACCTGGGGGTAGGTGATGTCCCAGCAGAGGGAGCCCCTCTGCCCTGTTTGGCCACCCTATGGCCGGCCAAAAGCACTCGGAAACCGAGCCCTTCCCATCTCCTCTTCCCCACATGGTGCTGAGGCTCCCTGCTGAAATGCAATTAAAGCAATTGATTTTCTAGTGCTGGTATTTATTGACTACCTTGCAGAAGGGCTATCTTTCTATTCCCATCAAACCCTTGGTTGCGTGTGTGGGTTTTTGTTTTTTTTTTTTAAATACTTTAGGGTTCTGATTTGTGGAACAGACCCTGTTGTAAATAACCACTATTCAAGCTGTGGCAGAATGATACAGCAAGAGGCCCCTCCAGGAGCGCCCTGGAGCCAGAGAGGGGCCACAGCCAGCTCGGCACCAAAGGCCTTGGAGAGGGAGGTAGGGCCGGCTGGCTCAAGTTAGTGGCACGATGACGCATGAAGGAGATTATGTTGTGCTCTTTATTGCCAAGAATAAAAACTTTTAAAAAGACAACTCCTGAATCAATAAATATCCCTTCCTTTCTGTACCGAATCTCTGGTTTTCTCCAGGCTTCTCCTGCCAGGCTGCCTAATTAACTACTTTGGGCATGATTCTACCCTACAGGGGTAAGGGGTCAAGGCCAGACCTTCCCTTCATTAAGGCCCTTGCCCCCCAGCACCCAAACTTAAATAATCAGGCTACTGGCAGTGAAGTTCATAACTAATGGGTAGAGAATGAAATACAGGGTTTACCTGGGGCAGGGAGGCAGCCAGGCTCTAACACTCTTCTCTAAGGGTTCTCAAATTAGGGACACTTGGAGATTTGAGCGAAGTGCCAGCAGCCTGGCTCTGGGCAGGGACTGGAAGGGGTTGTAGGCAACTTGAATGAGGGTTCTAACACTCAATCCTAACACCGGAAGTCCAAGGTACAACTGTGAAACCTCCAACTGTTGGACAGAAAGGGTTTGAAGACCTGAAATGACCAACAGAAGAAAGTCCAGCTCAGTGGTTCTCAACAGACTCCCCCAAAGGCACATAAGAAAACGCATTGGAAGGGATGTCCTGGGGAATGCCACTGGCAATGAGTGGGCAGAGCCAGGGACGTGAGATGTCTAGTAAAAAACTGTCCTGCCTCAAATGCCAGTGGCATGCCTGGCAATCTGAGCAAAGCTGGGATAGGCCGCCTCTTCCATACGGCTCCCTTTCTAGTGGGTACTGACGGTTTGCCAAGAAGCCCGAGCCAACAGCTGTCCACATCCCAGTAGCTAGAAGAGGCTCTGGAGAGACAAATCCAGCCGCTGGCCCAGATCCCCCCCTTTTTTGTTCAAACAGGTGAGCTGTGCTAGTTTATGGTTAGGACATCACTCTGGATCTCGTGGCTTAACTGGGTCTGTAAATCACTCAGCTTCTTCTTCAATCCAGAGAGGGCTGACAGGACAATGGTCTCAGGGCGCAGAGAGCCACAGGACTCGACGTTGTAGTAAAACCTAAGAGGAAGAGTCTGGTGAGAGCCCTCCGTGAGGCAGGCTGGCTCAGCCGAGCGTCGGCCTCGGATCATGCGCTCTCTCCTGGGTGGCTTCAACCTCTTACTAACGGGGGTCCTGCTGTACATTACGGGACTCCAAGGAGGCCACAGCTAGCTCAAAAAGCTACTGGGGAAACCTTAAAACACTTCGGAGTGCATGTGTTCCACATGGAGACAGTGGAAAGTCAAGTTAACAGTGGCTCACGTTCACTGTCAGAAGACTGGTCACTTCTGGCTCTGGGCAGACCTTTTCTTTGGGGATTGCTCATCAGAGGAGGAGCAGAGTGAAACAACCGCAGGGCCCCTCATCCCACAGTGACCAAGGGAGATGATCACCTGCCCTGGGACCTGCACCCGCCATGGATTCTGCAGCTACCCTTCCTTCCTCAGCTCACGGGCACTGGGACGTGAGGGAAGGGTCTCCCGACTCAGACCTTGCACCAAAACCATACATTCTTACACTCTTCATGTGCCGGCCTGGATCTTACCTCTCTGGCTTGCCGTTGGGGTCGTAGGGAGCCTGTGACTCATCTTCGTCCAGCTCTGAGTACTCGCTCTTTGGCCTGAGGTCAAATACAGGTCAGCACAGGGCTGCTACAGCTGCTTTTAGGGCACTATGTCCACAGTGAGGCTGCCCCGACCCCGGTGACTGGGAGCCATTTCCACACCAACCCACCCTGAATGCCTTTACTCCCAATGAGAACATACCATTCCTCAGGCTTGGGGTACACTGTGTGCCTCAGGGCATTGTCAGGATCATATTCAAAAGCCACCCCTGCGGTAGGGTTCCACTTGGCATGCTCCTTGCCAAAGCCCTTTTTGGCATAGGCTCGAAGTCTCAGCTCCTGGCCCTTCCTCAGCTTGACGATGAGGATGTCTGTGGGGAGAGGTGTGAGTCAGTCAAGGGCCGACAGACACCGTCCCCTGAATTTTGACCCGGAATACCACCAGAAGACCACACAATCAGGAAAAACAGCCCACAGGCCAGCTGACAGAGACCAGGGAGCACGAGAAGCTGTGTCTGGTCTTGCCTCTGTGCTGGCCTGCAGGACGACGAGCCGGGCAGAGATCCGCATACTCCCCCCAGCCCCTTACCGTCCTGCTCGACGTAGTCATTGGGGTCATTATCTCGGTTCCGGGAGGTCACCTGGAGGGAGCCCAAACAGAGGCATTTATTAGCTGCTCGTCTCCCCAGTCACCTCTTCTGGCAACCATGTTCCCGCACCTGCCGACCAGGGACAGGATGCCTGGGAATGAGGGGTACTAGGATTAAATCTGTGCTGGAGCTGGACTCCAGCCTCTGCCTCACGGCCTGCTGACAGCCTTTTCAGTCAAAACAGTACCCTCTCAAAGGGTCCTCGGGTGACAGAGGGTGGGCACACAGCACAACAATGCTCCTGTCCACCCTGGCTACTGTCCAGAATTATTAGCACTTTTAGGCACCAGGCTCGGTTGAAGGCAGAGGGTAACTCAAGGGAAATCAGCATCTTGTAAGAAACCACCGAGTCTGGCTCACTTCGAGCCAGGAGGAGAACAAAGGTCCTGGGTAGGACACTGTGAGACACTAACTGGAATGACCCGGGGGCTGTTGGAGATGAGGTCTCGAGACGTGACGTGACGAGTCTGATCTTCGTTGCACCGCACGTCAAGAGTGAACTCCACTGAGCACTCGGGGCAGAACTCTTCGCACGTGCAGTCCTGAGGCGGGAAGACAAGCGGGAATGAGCCTATGGAGAGGTGGTGAGCCCTGAGCTCCCTGCTTCTAACACCCAGTTCCTTAGATTTCTTAATGTAAAAGGGCTGCTCTCAGGCTCCAGGCTCTTGTGGGCCATGCCAATCTGGTACACCATTCTCCCGGGCCGCCCAAGTGCAGGCCCTTCCCAGTTTATTTTTTTTTTTTAATTATTTTTTTTTTCAACGTTTATTTATTTTTGGGACAGAGAGAGACAGAGCATGAACGGGGGAGGGGCAGAGAGAGAGGGAGACACAGAATCGGAAACAGGCTCCAGACTCTGAGCCATCAGCCCAGAGCCCGACGCGGGGCTCGAACTCACGGACCGCGAGATCGTGACCTGGCTGAAGTCGGACGCTTAACCGACTGCGCCACCCAGGCGCCCCCCTTCCCAGTTTAGAGACCACCCGTACCTGTTGACGCCTGGGTTTACTTTCCACCTCCAGCAGCTGCCAGGCCACCACCGGGAGACACATTGCTAAACTCTCACCCTGGCCCTCGGAGCGCCCTTCTTCAGGGATACAAGGCGTTAAGCAAGAGAATGATGCTTCCACGCTTTAGAGTGCAGCTTCCCATGAACTGTGTGGACTAGCTCGGGAATGCAATCATCATTTAAAATAAAATGATCCAGGCAACAACAGTAAAGTTCTTTCAAGTTCTAGACTACTTTTTCTTTTAAAAACAAAGCAAAAAAACCTTTCCATAATGGAAAATTTCATGCATTCACAAGAGCAGAGCAAAGCAGAAGAGACTACCACCGTGTAACCATCACTCAGCTTCAATAACTAGCAACAGTTCTTTAAGCAACGACTCTTGAAACAATCCATTCCTATGTTAGGGACCATCTGCTGCAGTTTAACTTCAGGCGAGTTACTGGAATGTAACCAAGCAAACTGTTCGCCCCCTCAGGCCAATGAGGAACATCTAACCTGCTTCTGAGGTTTTTCAGACAAGGAGGA